AACTGGAAAATAAAGCAATAACATGCAGGCTCCTCAGAAACCATTGCATACATATGCCAGGACTTGCACACTGTCACAGAAATACCAGAGAGAATTCAAAATTCCCATGTCCTCTAGAGAGCCTTCTCTGCATGCTGACAAGTGCACACACTATCCACACGATTCTGTTCTGAAATTATCCCAGTCCTGCACAGCAGCAGGAACAGCCTTGTTCATGGTGGTGAAGGAGGATACAGGCACCTTCCTGTCATAATTCTACCACCACTCAAGAGTTCCAGAAGTAAGAAGGGGATGGTGTAGGCTAAGTCAAAAGCTGATGGAGGAAGATTGCTAGGAAAGGGCCATCTGACTGAAAAGTGGTGCGGTGACCACTCTGCCAGTTTTGCAGAATTTTCCACAGCCTGTTGTTTTCCTACAACTTAAGATCATCTCTTAACTTCATACAGTTTGGGTGATCTTGTCTCTTCACTTTAGGCTCCATTTCTCCACTTTCAGCAACGTTAACACACCCTGTGTGCACATTCTGGACAGCCCTATGGGCTGTGCTGACTGGGAACATGAGGCACTTCATTACCTGAGGAGACATTTCTGCTGCACTGTCAAAGGCAAACATGGAAAACTTTTAAACTCTCTTGACAGAAACTCAATGAGAACAAGTTTCTGTGGTAGCCTTGAACTAAACTTTCTATATGAATAATTCCATCTTTTTTTTGTGAATTCCTCCCTCACACCAGCGAGCAGCTCAGCAGGATCAGATCATTTCTATGAGCAACTGCACATGAGTGCAGCAGGTGGAAGAGATTCAGTTTTTCCATTTTTAAAGCCAAATGTGTAAGAGGTTGTGAGGACTGAGCTATATTTGAAAACATATCCATTAAATTTCAACCTGCTGTCTTTGTATGGGACGAGGCAAAATATCAATCAGAAATTAAAACAATTTTCAATTTCTTTTCAGAAACAAAGCAAGAAACACATCAATATACAGAATATATATTTTTTTTATAAGATAGCAGCAAAAGCTATATTGAAGCAGCATGGAAAACAAGAACATTTTCACACATTTTGTAAAAAAACAGAAGTAGCCATTATTTTTCAATCCTCTGTGGGCTATTCTGTGGGCCATTTTCAACACAGCTAAGCAGGCATGGAATTTAGGCTGTAATTTTCACAGGGACCCAAGTGAGTTAATGGCGTAATCTTTATTGAAAATTCTCATCTTAACTTCAAGTTTCCAGTAGCAGTAACTGCTCCTATAATCAAATATCATAGTCAGTGATTCTTCAGTGCTTTTGTTCTTCCCTGGCTTATGTTACTTACGTTGCATGTTATGCTTGACATTTAAAAATAAGAAAAAACAAACAAAACCCAATAACTTAAGCCCTTCCCCCACCAAATACAACAACAGACACTCCCCCCAAACCAAAAACCAGCCCCACATTATGGTGCTTTAGTTATGTTCTTCAATTTGTGGGCACTACATAGCTCTGTCTGTAAATCATATAAAATGCAGACATCTAACAAAAAAAAAATCACCTATTACAGCTGCAAAAAAAAAAATAAATATGGACTTTTCTTTTTCTATGCTTCCAGGAGAATCATCACAGTAAAAATAAATACAGGTGCTAAAACCAGGAGGATTATACAAGTTAGAACTGGTACAAGACTGTGCATTTTATTAGCATAATTTACATTCTAGCAGGATTCCAATCTGGTGTTGAGAAATATGAGTATCTAGCCTCTGACAGGATAGGGCTCTGCTGCTTTCTCCTTATCACAATAAAATTAAGGTTAACCCTCTCTGTACTCTGTGGATCTGTTATAAATACACAGAGAGCTTCATATAGAAATGTCAAACATATAAAAATGCCAAATGCTTTCTCTGATGGATTCAAAATAAAACATACTAAAGAGAATATTCTGCCTACAGATAGGTAGCCATGCACATAACTATCCACATGACTATAGAAATGTCACTGGAGTCTGGACTGCTCAAAGCGGGGGCATAAATGTAGCCTGAAAAAATACTTCACTCAGCGTGATAACAACCTGCCTTAGTTCTCATAATCACCAACTCCATTCAATACCCAATCTTTTGGGCTGGTACTTCTGTCCCAAAAAATTAAAAGCCACACTTTAGGAACTTTCATGTGCAAATGCTAACAGGAGTTTCCAGGTCTGGTCCGGTCCGGTCCGGTCCGGTCCGGTCCGGTCCGGTCCGGTCCGGTCCGGTCCGGTCCGGAAAGGAAAGGAAAGGAAAGGAAAGGAAAGGAAAGGAAAGGAAAGGAAAGGAAAGGAAAGGAAAGGAAAGGAAAGGAAAGGAAAGGAAAGGAAAGGAAAGGAAAGGTGACATCCTAAGGCGTAAGTTCAGGCTGGCTGCTTAAACTCAGAAGAGACCAAGTCACTAGAAAGAGACAGAGGCGATTTTTGGCCTTCACCCAAGCTGACGAAAGAGAACAGGTCAGTTGAGGCTGTTTCAAGTCCAAGCTCACTTTCACAGCTGCACACCCTTCCACAGCAAGTGAATAAAAGCCCTGTGCCAAAAAACTATCTGTGAATGGCTGTAAAGAGCTTTTGACATGATGATTTTTAGTAACAAACACAGCACTAAAGCAACAGTCCCAGCACTGGATACAGAGAGACTGCTTCACTGCCTGGGAGCCCAGGCACTGTGTCCACATACACATGGATGCACACTCACCCTGTGGCTGGTATTGCTCAAAGTGATAATCTGCAGAGTTCTTTTCTCCTGCATACAAAACTAACCTTGTTTTCTTCTGTTGGACAAGTGTCAGTGTAGAATGTTCCTTCACTGATTTTCCAAGTATCTACATTAACTGAATTATTGTGGTGGACTTGTCTGGGTTCGCTACCTCCCCATACATGTGGCAATATTGTTTTTCACATCAGGAAAGCCAGCACACAAACTTTAAACATGCTGTATGAAAATATTAGTTTTAGGCTGCTGCTTATTTATTTATTCTGCAGTAGGCAGGACTGCAAGTGTAACAGAAACTATTGATTTCCTCAGTGTAAGATTTAAAGTCATACAGGAACATTAAGAGCTTCAAATTTGATCATCTGCAATACCCAGACTACAGCAATTTGTTAACTCAGTAAAACTGCACTTGAACTGGAGCCCGTATTTTAGACTCTGTTTTGATCTTACAGACAACTGCAGGGTATTACCTCCTGCAGTATGTGAGTCAGAGGAAAGTTAATTTCCTGATCTCTTTATTAAGAATCAATAAAAAGCACTGCAAACCAATAGGCTGAAGGAGGGAGGGAATCCTTTCTGATCCTTTTCCACTGTTTTTCCTCTGAAAAGTGAAGACGAACATTCTCTGCGACACACCTGTCAACCTAACAGCACTGACTGCTTTATGAATAACAATAATTCATTGGTTTCTTTTCTTTCCTCCATACCCATACGTTTACTGATCTATCAGCCTCAACACAAGCCAACAGTAGGAGTTCTACCAGATGATGACTTGGAACATAAGAAACATTTATTTTATTAACCTAATCTGAAACATTTTCCTATATTTCTTCTGTGGACAGGTCTTTATTTTAGTTCTGCCATTATTTCAAAACTACTATAGATACTCTTTCTAAGATCTCCTAAGCAGAGGATCTCTTTCCTTTCCAAAACTGAATCTACATTGTCTCCTTAATCCTTTTTCATGACAGGTCGTTTCTTCTTTTCTCGCACTTCTAATAATTTCTGTAACCAAAACTCAACATTATATTCACAGTGAGGCAAGTCTGTTATACATGATAATATCTTCTAACTCATTTTCCTTCTAAATATAACCAAGTGTTGTGTTTGGGTTTTGGAGGCCCATTGCATATAAAGTAGATGCCTTTACTCCTATATGAAGTGTAGATCTTTCTGCCAAGAGCTGACAATTAATTCAGAATCCAATAATGCATACAAGTAATTTTAAATTGTCCCTTCTACTGTAATTACCTGGCAGGTTAATTCCATGTTCCAGCTACAGAATGCTATAGAACCTAGCTATTTAAAGTCCTTCAGAAATGCACCTGACAATCACTCACTTACATGACTAATATATAATCACTTGTATCACTAATATACTACTATTAATTAATATTTATTAATGAACACAGTGTTGTTTTGGGTTTTTTTTGCTATTGCGTTCCCATTCCAGAAGAAAGTGTTTATCACTCATGACCTGATGAAATGTTAATTCATGGTAAAATTTTGCCACTTTTCCTGTGATTTTCAAGTTCCCTTAGTCTTCAGTTGTCAGGGACTTTTGATTTTGATTAAATAAGCAGGTGGCACAATTGTGCCCCTGTTTTGGATTTATTAATGTTAGTTTTTTTTAAAGAAAAAATATTTTAAGGATAAAGATAATTCAGATAGTCAATATTGCCCATACATCTGAAGGAATAATGGTCAAACATAAGTAAAATGTAAAAGCACAAACAAAATCTGTGTTTATTGGACTTCAAGACATTTACCCTGGATTTCCACTAGGCTCTAAGCACACATGTGCTGCAAGAAGCAATGTGGAGAGATAATGAATTTTATGTCTTTGCCTGTGCTGAGGACATTTCCTTTTTAACAATATCAATGTGGCTCTTAAACCACAAATATAGTTTTAAAAACCCTACACACTCTGATGGGTATCTCTTCCTACATGCTCCTAGTAAGGTTTTAGGCTTCTTTGCTTGTTTTATGGGGTATTTTGGTGTTTGGTGTTTGTTTGTGGGCTTTTTTGTTTTTTGGTTTTTTTTGTTAATGACAGATGCACTTGGCAGTATCTGTGACCTTGAGTTGTACACTTGAGCAAGCAAGACAGCCCAGTCCTGCCAGGCTGCTTATGCATTCTGAGAGAGCTCCTTCTGAGAGGAGTGTCTCAAGGAAGACAGAAGCATGATGTGCATACCAAGCCAAGTGCTTCATGATTTATTTATATGGAAAAGGGGCATATAAATTTGCTGAAGGGGAAAGAAAAATGAAGAATTTGACTTACCTTGTCGGTGTAGACGAAGAACAGAATCACAACAGTGAGCTCCAACAGAAATATAATTAACAGCATGATAAAAAACTGTCAAGAGAAGAAAAGAACAGGGGATAAAACAAAAGCAAAAACCATCAGCATATATTTCAGCTTTTTCTGGATGCACAGCAAGAACATTCAGCAGATCATGCAGAATGGGGAGTGGGAGTCATACAGGCAGCAGGATACAAAGCTGCTGCAACTGAAAAAGCAGGTGAAGGACTAGTCAGGAAACACCAGTGCCTGGGCATAGGCATGGCTCATTCATAGCACTGGTTCCAGTAGACCAGCCTAAAACCTCACCAAGAGCAAACTAGTGCTCTCTTTGACAGCAAACCTTGAGGAATCTTCCCATGCTAAGTTTTCTTCCTTTTTTCCCCCACTGGATATTAGTGATGATATCCAACGATATCCATGAAATCCACAGCGTAACTTCCCATGGCAAGAATAGGCAGCCTGGGCTATAAATCATAAAGTCATAGTTCCTTTCAAGGGTAATTGTGGGATCAAGGGGGAAGTGAAAGGTGTACCAAGTTAGCTTTATGAGCAGTTTCAGGGAGCTACATGAATCACCCATGAGTTTCAGCTGAAAAGGGCTGAAGTGAATTTGCACTGAAGACATCAAAGCAAAGTTGGGCAACCTCTCTTTCTTCTCATAAGCCATGGAACTGCCTAAAACCCAGGAGTCAAAAGCTCAAAGGACTGGATAAAAATCTTTTAAAACAGGGATCTCAGGTAGATTCTCTAAAGCTCTCAGCTCTGATTGACTGCAGTGAGAGGACCTGCTGGCAATGCCAAATACTTCTGGAAAACCACATCCACTGCATTTCGTTACCATGCTGGATGGGTCTGCAGCAACATCAAAACAGCACTTGCGCTATCAGAGCATTAAATGCAACTGAGTTTTGCATAGACAGGTAAAGGAGAGAGTAATTTTGGAAACTTTTTAGGCTGAGGCAAAGGTCCAGCTCCCTATAACAAAAAATTCACACACTTAGCAACCTGTAAGGCTGAAATTCTAATACTGAGCAACACTGACTTAATTGGATTCCCATCCCCAAGAGAAAAATGCAGTTACTGTCTCTTCAACCACAAGGCTACAATCCTATAAAAGTTTAATAACTACTAAGCCTTTATCAGAATTTCTGCACTGCCTGGTAAGTCAAAACCAAACCTTTGAACTCATGGATTTATGTGACTGAATGGAGGGCAAAAAGTCATGAAGGGGAAAATACTTTTCTTCCCTGGTACAATTACTGTGTCTACAGAAGTCATTGCATTTTGCCCCATGAATCTTAAATTATTTATTTTCAAATTTCCATCACCAGTATTTTTACACCTGCCTGACCCTAATACTGGATCCTATTACTGCCCAGTTTTGAATCACAGACCTCATTTATGCCTGTGATCCAAGCTGATTTCCATATCATTACCATCCAACACTGACCTTCTGTATGGCTTTGCAAAGCTGTCTTGGTGCAGCTTGCTTACTTTTTACAATTTTAAGCTGCTGCATAGCATTAACTAAAACAGGACAAAGCATATTCCTCTTCACAAAGATGCACAGACACTTTTTTATATCTATTTGGCTGTAGAATACTTTTTTGCTCATCCATAAAAGCATCATTTTTTTCAAAATGTGCATGTGAACACCATTTTCTCCCTATGAAATTCCCTGCCATAGACAGGATTGCATGAGACAATCTCTAGAACAAAGGAGAAAGTCTCTTTGTTACCCATTATATACAGTGATCAGCATTTCCTGCCACAGGACCTCAGTTTCAACAGCTTATCATTTTGCCAAACCTTAATTATCTGTGCTGATATATTTTGTGCTGGTTTCTGTCAAAAGGATAAAAGCTTTGGAAGAATGTCAAAAATAGCACTCCAATTACTTCTAAGAATGAAGCAGGGCAAAGTATGCTATTCTTCCCAGGTTAAATTTCTGGTGCTTTAATTTGAATCCTCTCATACTGCAATTTTTAGAGCAGAGACCTGACACTGTGCAGCTCCATTTCAAGCACAGAAATTTCAGCCTTTTGTCTTACCCAGCTACGAGTGGATGTTTGTGGGAAAGTTATTAGCTTTCAAGAGACTGCATTTCACACATCATAGAGATGAGAGGGCTCAACAGCTAAAACCTGCAAATCATACATACACCCACGACCAGACAAACCATAAAGTATCCCACAGATCTTTTCTGCTCCTGTGGTGCCTTTCTGCCATCTCCCCAAAGCCAATAACCTCCAACCCCACTTCAAAGGACATGAGCTGGAACAGGGGGGTATGTCCAGGAACTGGAATAAAACGTAGGGATCTGTTTTTCCTGTGCTCTCCAGAAAGCTTTTCCTCCCTTCCCTGTACACAGCAGCATGGAGAGAGTATAGATGAAACCACAAGTGACTGCAGGAGAAAGGCTGCCCCAAGTAAGAACATTTTTAACAGCAGATGGGGAATGGTTTGGCTTAGGATTTGATCCTAAGTTTTAGAAAAACTGTTCCTACAAGCAGCAGACAATCCAGGCAGGAAACAGAGGGGACAGGAGACACTTGTGTACATGGATACCCAGGAAGAATGAGGTCTTTGAGAGGCTGGTGGCTGGAGGCATGGAAAAAAAAGATCAAGAAATAAAGAGTGGCCATAAAAAAAAGGCATTCTGCACTGACCCCTCGACAGAGTATAATGTGCAGGGAATGGACTGGAGACTGGCAAGGGGAGAGGAAAGGTATCTGGAGGGAGGCTGAGGTGTTTTCTCAAGTATATCATTATTTCTTGATACTAGCATCAGTAATTAAAATTTCGTCTTAATTGGCAACAAATGAAGTGAAATTTCACGTCTCAAGAGTATTTTCTCCTGCAACACCAACTCTGCTAAAAGCTATCAGCTTCAGACTGGGACAGTGAGCTGGCCTTGCATTGTGTCCACCAGCTGAAGGAGGCTGGACCTTCTGGCAAGATCCTGACGGTGCTCCTGCCTTCCTCAGTTCATACTAGAGAAATAGGCATGACACTGACATCAGAAAAGATGCTAAAATGATGCAGTCAAGCACTCAAAATTTAGGAAAGATCAGAATAAAAATCCTCTCAGTGATGGTTATGTATCATGTCTAAGTCTTTCCCTACATAGACTGAGAGGGTTCTTCAAGTTGGGAATTTGTTTTCATGCAATGCAAATCTTGGAAGCCATACAGTGAACCAAAACTAATGTACATTGTTCAAAAAGTCAAAACCTAGAAAGGGATTATCCTTTAACTCCATAGAAAAGTATTTTGGTTTCATATAAAGTATCTAATTCCATATTTTTTTACATTTGGAAACATTGACAGAGCCCCATAAGGCTGTATCACAGAAAACTGCCAAGTATTAGGAATCCCCATGTGTGCAGACAGTAGACACCTGTGCTGTGCCTTTTATTAAAAATGTTAATTAAGTGATATCAACCCCAATATGGAGGCTTCACACTCATCACCTCATCAAAATTACAAGCACTTGCATGTCAACTCATCTGTCATCCCCCTTCTAAAGAAGAGCTGCAGCTAAACCCAAAGCAGCACCTTGGAAAGGAGCAGTTGAGGCTTCAGCCTGTGCTGGCTGCAAAGCAAGGCCTGCACACTGCAGCACATCCTGTGATTCACCAGACTAAAGTGCAAGCACAGACACATGCACAACCTGCTCCTCTAGTCCACAGCACCTTCCAATAACAGGTCATTTTCAGTTCCATCCTCACTATTATCCCAAAGGGAATGATGCCCAATACAGGACCAGACCCAACTTGGCATATACTGTTCAAATTTAGAAGGAAGAAACATGAACTCACTGAAGGCTCACAGCACCTAAACCCCCACCACACCTGCTGGAAACTCTCACGGCTGCTTTCCAATTGAGTTCTCTCACTGTGGTGATAAATACTGAGAAAAATAAAATTGAGTTTTGTTTGGTTCACTGGGGCTGTAGGCTATTGGTATAATAAAGATTTATGCATGGAGAAACAACAATCCCAAAGCAAAGCATTCATGTGAAACTCCATAAAAAAAGATTAATCTGACCTTGTACAGAGAAATGCTCTACCATACTACTTGTCAAACAGTGGGATGCAACCCAGCAGAGGTTCAGTGGAGAGGTCCCTAGTGCTCAGCTTTTCATAAATTATACCTGAAATAACCCCACAGAAGCTTTGATGAGGAGGGAGGTAAGGTAACACCCTTCTGTCTACCAATGCTGATTTCCAACCCCTAAGAAAACTAAGGCCAGTTTCTCAGCAGCTACCTTTATATTCTACAAAGCCTTTGACTTTCCCACAGATTCTCATTAAAGGTTTATGGAAAAGTAAGTATGCAGCTGCTACCAAACCTGCGTCATGGATATGAACCACCCACCTGCTATCAGAAAGAAAAGTCTGCTAAAGGAGATGAGGTCCCAACTTTCAACTCCATCCCCACTGGGTCTGTACCAGGCTTTTGACTTACTACTTCCAGTTTTTTTTATTCAGGCTCTTGATACCAACTGGAGAATCAAGAACTGCACCCTGTGTACATCACTTAAAGCACATTTCCATCGCTGCTCACACAGCAGAGAGCAACAAGTTAATTGTATTTCCCTCCCAAATAGGATTCTCTGGTTTCTCTGATGCTACAGACACTTGCTCCCCTGCATGATGACTGACATCACACACTAATACACAGGATTGGGTCATCTGCTTCCCCACTGCCTCTCCCTCCCAAATCTTCTCAATAGAGGGATCATGTTGCTCAAATTGCCCATCTCTTCATGTCAGGAGTATCTGATCTTCTCTATGTCTCCCAAAGACAAAAGTGACCCAATACAATGAAAACCAAGGTGTGGTTGTCTTGTTAGCCTACTAACATCTTGCTGTGAGACTAAATGTGATATAACTGATGACAAACTCTAGACTGCTGTGTTTCCACTGCTTGCTGAAGTAATGCTTTTAGTTTGATGGGAGGCTGTCTCAGAAGGGGACAGCAGGATCTCAGTGTGCCAGACATGTTTCTCAACTTGGCTCACGGCAGGAGACAGAAGCTTCTTGCAAA